CGCTCGGTACTGTATATGGCCCATACAGCCCAGGAAAGATCCATCCCGGAATATATACATCACTGACCATGAGTCACCTAGGACCGAGGAAGGCCAATCCGGCCCATGGAGAAGATCCATCTCCAGGTATCAAATGCTTCAGACAAGATCCATGTCCAGGGAAGATCCATCCCTCAATAATATCAACCGCGCTCATAGGGGTATGTACAGACTCCGGAGGGGCTCCTACAGCCCAAGCGCTATCAGAATATCAGTATAACCGCTATGGCGTGCAGCCCAATCCCATAACTGTCGCTCATAATCAGGCTCTCGGCCTCACTCAGTCATCAATCTCTCCAGCCCCACTCACGGGCTCACAATATCATGAAAACTAGCCCGAAACAATGATATGATGTATCAATAAATAACAACTGATATTGAGATATGATATGAAATGAATGAATATGACTAAGTACGAAATATCAATGAAATCAGTAAGGTGATAGCAAGAAACGAACACTATGGGTCCCAATAGTACCGGCATAAAGCCTAAACATGATATCTAGCATGATTGATGGCTCAATTACTTTATCACACTATGTAAATACGGATATCAACAAGATAGAGTCACTATACAGTGCCATGGAATCAACCAGGTCACAATTCTCACGGTGCACAGCCACACGCCTGTCACTTGGCATGTGTGTCACCTCAATACCAATCACACAACACATAATTCGGGGTTTCGAACCCTCAGAACCAAGTTTGAAAGTGTTACTAACCTCAATCAGAGCAAAACTCTACTCCAAAATGCCTTTTTCTCTCAAATCGATCTCCAAACGCCCCGAATCTAGCCACAAGTAGTACAATACAATCAATATAGGCTAAAGGGATCAATTCCACAAGAAAAGTACTAAATTATAGCCAAAAATCCAAAATTGGCTCAAACCCGGCCCCCGAGCCCACGTCTCGAAATCCGACAAAAGTCACAAAACCCAAAAGCCCATTCACTCACGAGTCTAACCATACCAAATTTTCTCAAATCTGATAACAAAACCCCATTCAAAACCTCAAAAATCTAACTCACGATCTCTTCCTCTTTTCCCCCAATTTTCCACCCCAAATCACAAATTAGATGATGGAATTTAAGGCATAATCCTAGAATTTAGCAAAAACCAAGTTAGAATCACTTACCCCAATCAACTCCTTGAAAATCCCTTCAAAAATTGCCTAAATCCGTGGTCTGTAGCTCAAAATATGAAAAATGGGTTCAAACCCTCGTTTTTTGAAATTTAACACTGCTTCCCAGTTATTCCTTCTTCGCAAACACGACCATCCTCTCTCATTCGCGTAGACCAATCTGTCTGCCTCTCAATTTAACTCTCCGCGAACGCGACCAAAGCTTCGCGAATGCGAAGCTTTACCAACTCTACTCTTCGCGAACGCGATCCCTACCCCGCGAACGCGTAGACCAAAAAGTTGGGGTCCCCAGCTGCCTCAACATCTCTTTGCGAACGCGACACCTCTCCCGCGTTCGCGATGCACACACAACCATACCTTCGCTTCCTCTTCTACGTAAACGCGAAGAACAAAATCTTCCCAGCTCACATACACCCTTTGCGAACACGAGGTTCCTTTCGCGAACGCGTAAGAGGAAACCAGAAGAATCACACCAGCAGTTATCAACCAACAACCTAAGTCCAAATATGATCCGTTAACCGCCCAAAACTCACCCGAGGCCCCCCGGGACCTCAACCAAACATAACAACAAGTCCCAAAATATCATACGAACTTAGTTGAATTATCAATTCACCTCAAACAACATCAAAAATACGAATTACACACGGATTCAAGCCTAATGAACTTTGAAATTTCCAAATTCTACAAACGACGCCGAAACCTATCAAATCACATCCGATTGGCCTCAAATTTTGCACACAAGTCATTAATGACACCGCGAACTTACTCCAACCTTCGAAAATCCAATCCAACTCCGATATCAAAAAGTCCACTCCCGGTCAAACTTTCCAAATTTCCAACTTTCGCCAATTCAAGCCTAATTCTACTATGGACCTCCAAAATACAATCCGGACGTGCTCCTAAGTCCAAAATCACCTAACGGAGCTAACAGAACCATCAAAATTCAAATCTGAGGTCGTTTACACATAAGTCAACATCCGGTCAAGTTTTTCCAACTTAAGCTTTCAATTAAGAGACTAAGTGTCTCAATTCACTCTGAAATCTCTCCGGACCCGAACCAACCAACCCGATAAGTCATATAACAACTGTAGAATACAAAAGGAGCAGAAAATGGGGGAATGGGGCTACAACTCTTGAAACGATCGGCCGGGTCGTTACATCATCCCCCTCTTGAACAGACGTTCGTCCTCGAACGGGTCTAGAAACATACCTGGAGTCTCAAATAGATGGGGATATCTGCTCCGCATCTACCGCTCGGCCTCCCAAGTAGCCTCCTCCATGGGTTGACCTCTCCACTGCACTTTCACTGAAGCTATATCCTTTGACCTCAACTTTCGAATCTGCCGCTCCAAAATGGCTACCGGCTGCACATCATAAGTCAAATCACCATCCAACTGAACCGTGCTGAAATCCAAAATATGAGACGGATCGCCAATGTACGTCCGGAGCATAGAAACATGAAATACTGGATGCACACTCGACAAGCTAGGTGGCAAGGCAAGCTTGTAAGCCACCTCCCCAATCCTCTGAAGTACCTCAAAAGGCCCAATGAACCGAAGGCTCAACTTGCCCTTCTTCCCGAACCTCATAACACCCTTCATGGGTGAAACCTTCAGCAGAACCTTCTCCCCAACCATATAAGACACATCACGGACCTTCCTGTCGGCATAACTCTTCTGTCTCGACTACGCCGTGCGAAGCCGCTCCTGAATCAATTTAACCTTGTCCAAAGCATCCTGAACTAAATCAGTACCCAATAGCCTAGCCTCGCCCGGCTCTAACCAACCCACTGGAGATCTACACCGTCTCCCATATAAATCTTCATATGGAGCCATCTGAATGATCGACTGATAAATATTGTTGTAAGCGAACTCCGCGAACGGCAAAAACTGGTCCCATGAACCACCAAAATTAATGATACAAGTGCGTAACATGTCCTCCAATATCTGAATAGTGCGCTCGGACTGTCCGTCCGTCTGAGGGTGAAATCCTGTGCTCAACTCAACCTGAGTACCTAACTCATGCTGCACGGCTCTCCAAAACAGCGATGTAAACTGCGTGCCTCTATCTGAAATGATGGAAACTGGCACACCGTGAAGGCGAACAATCTCTCTGATGTAAATCTCAGCCAACCAATCTGAAGAATAAGTAGTACTCATTGGAATGAAGTGCGCGGACTTGGTCAGCCAATCCACAATCACCCAAATAGCATCGAACTTCCTCGAAGTCCGTAGGAGCCTAACTACGAAATCCCATGGTGATCCACTCCCACTTCCACTCCGGAATTTCTATCCTCTGAAGCAATCCACCCGGTTTCTGATGCTCAGATTTTACCTGCTGATAGTTGAGACACCGAGCTACAAACCCAACTATATCTTTCTTCATTCTCCTCCACCATTAGTGCTGCCTCAGGCCCTGGTACATCTTTGCGGCACCTGGATGGATGGAATACCGCGAGCTGAGGACCTCATCAAGAATCGGTGATTTACGCATAGCCTCACGACCTCTCGAGCCTTAATGCGCCTACAATACCTAAAGTCTCGGTGATTCTCCGAATGCCCCAAATCACCTAGCACAATATCCTGGTGCCCCTCTTTATTCAGAAGACTATAGAAGTAAGTCTGTCATCTCCGCTTAATATGAGCCTCCCCCATTAATACTCTACCATCCTCATCTTTGATGTACCTCAGTTGATCCAGATCCCGAGCCTTTCTCTCTCTCTCCTTAGCCAGCCAAAATAACTTCTTATTTCCGTCTTTTTCTCCCAGTTCCTCGTACAGGCGACCAAACGCTCCTGTCTTAGCCTCCGTGACCGCCAACTTTGCCTCCTTCCTCGCTACCTTGTACCTCTCTTTGTTCGCTCTCCTCTCCTCATCGCCTGTGCTCCCATACTAACTTCAGGTACCGCTTTCTTAGCTTCCACTTTGACTTGGACCACTTCATTCCACCACCAGATGCATTTGTGTCAGCCAGAAAAATCCTTCGAGACCCCTAACACCTCTCTCGCCGCTTCCCGTACACAGTTCGCCGTCGTTGTCCACATGGCGCTCGCGTCCCCACTACTCCTTCAGGCTCCTATAGCCGATAACCTCCCCTCAAACTCCTAAGCTTTACCCTTAGTCAAGGCATCCTACCTGATCCTCGGTCAAGCATAAACACGAATAGTGTGTAAAAGAAATATTTACGTTATCAATGAAGTTTTACTAAAATATGGTTATATAGCTAATGTCGCGATTATTCGAGATGTAAAGACTGATTTTGTATTTTATTTTACTATTAATGATATTAGCCACTAGATACTATGCCAGTCTACCTAGTGGTACATTGGCTAAAAGAAAAAAGATTGTGATTACTCGTATAGCTGATACCTAATTGCAGAGCCACCTTAAACCAAGAAGTTTTTATTTATATATAGCTATCCAGCTATACGAGTAATCGCAATCTTTTTTCTTTGGCTTATATGTTGAATTTTTTTGGCTTCTTTGTGTGTTTAATTTTTATATTTTAACTCTATTTAATAATAAATTTGCAGCTTCCCAATACTAACACCAACTAGTTTGAGATTGAGATGTAATAATTGTTATCGTTGTTATATCAAGTAAATTTACCATCTTTCTATGTTAATAATCCACGCTTACCTATGAACAGTTATGTATACTTGAGTTTATAAATAAATTTGAAAGCTAGCTAACAATTATTTGTACTATTAAGATATAAAAAAAAAACACAGAGAAAGTAAAAGAGCTAGTATCCCCAAAAAAGTGCACTTCGGTATTCCAAAAGATAAGTGATCACATGTTGTACTAACTTACACTGTGCATGAGATATCTACTCGTACTAGGAAACCATATTGCCACTTTAATGAGTTCATTTCTCAAATGTCTTTATTTCTCTTAATTTTCTTCTCCATTGGAGCTCTGCAACTGGAAATTAAACAATGTCTGGCGTATGGATATTCGACAAGAAGGGTGTTGCCCGTTTGATCACCAACCCTACTCGCGAGTCCTTCGAGCTAATGGAACCAACATATCCAGGTACTCAATGTGTGTGTGTGTATATATGAAAAAACACTGAAAAAGTAATTGTGTAGAATCTATTTTTTATTTTAAAACGAATAGTGATCTTATAAACCTAGAATTTCCTCTTTGTACTTTGATCTAAAGTTTAACTCGTTAGATTTAGTAATGCTAATTCTCCTTCCATCTCGAACTAAGTTGAGGCGGGAGAAAAAGATTTACATGTATTTGATGGTATCGAGAGACGTCTTGATTTTCTATTATATGTTTTATGCTTCTTTATTTCCATGGGGATTAAGGGCTTACTTGGCGGGGTAAGATTGTTTGCACCCCCTAGTTTTAGGTCGTGTCGGACTTGATACTTTATTTATTTTATTTTATGTGAGTGTGTTTGATTGAGCGCGAAGTTTCAGGAGTTTTTTTTTTTTTTTTTTGAAATTTGTGGTTTATTACAAGCCATAGACATTTGTATGACGAACTATAAATCATCTCATTAAGATTAAATGAGAAGTTTGAAGTTGAACTATTTCTAAATATAAAAATATGTTGTTTATTTTGGGACAAATTAAAAAAAAAATGCCACATAAAATAAGATAAGGGAAATATTAGAGCACAATTTATTGGTCTCAACCAGGAATATTAGACAAAATAGGCTCTATTGGAATTTCTATAACATGTTAATCAAGGCAAAACAACTTAAATCACCATGTGAATATGTCATACGTTACGTTTCTATCTTCTTTGGATCCACACAATATGTTTCTTTACATACTGACTTTAAATTATGTATTCGTCTCTTTAGGCACTGGTACAGCCACTGCACCCGGAGCGCGCCCGAAGGTGCTAGTGTATCTACCAGAGAACCAGGTGATTTGTTCCTATGCTGACCTAGAGAAGATACTCATTGAGCTTGGATGGAGTCGCTACAACAACCCAATAAGGTCAGATTTCATGCAGTTCCACAAGTCGGATGACTCTGCACATCTCATCTCACTTCCTAAAGATTTTAGAAACTTCAAATCTCTACATATGTATGACATCGTCGTCAAGAATCCATCTTTCTTTGAAGTCCGTGAGCCATTTGGCTAGCCTTTATCAAGGGCGGATTTAGAGTACCATTTACGGATTCATGTGAATTCAGTACATTTTACTCGTATCTTATATATGTATTAAAACATTTGTTATATATTTGACTATAAACTCAGTTATTATTATATAGTTACTTGAAATCGTTATAGAGAATATATAAACTTCAAATTCTAAATCTGCTTCTGGCCTTTTATCAGCAGCAGCAACAACAACATACCCGGTGTGAATAGCCTTTATCAGCACCAACCATAACTAAATAGCAATTGCGGATACATGTTGACCATCACCTTTTACATGTCTAATTATTAGGTATATAGTAGATATACCCTAGATCCAATCTTATATTTGATGATTTGAATATATTTTTGTGAACGTTATTTGATATAAAAATATATGGCATCTGATTTTCGTTTATCATAGTTATTATTAATTGTTTGATTAACTTGATAAGGTCTTTGATTAAATTTTGAGACTTGATATTGTGATGGAGATCATGATAATGAAAGTGAAGTTTCTTATAATTGAATCTAAATTTTTTCTTGATCATAGGATTATTAATTTGGACATTAGTAATCCGGTTAGATCAATATTTCTGTGATCGTCTTTATTGGATAAAGATTAGTTGATCTCATTAACTAAATCACATAGATAGATGATGCATATAGAGATATGATCATTGAACCGACTCGTTGGATAATTTCTAATGGTTAGAATTACCATAAACTGTCAATAGAATATTCTCTTGAAGAATGTGATGTAAGAGTTTCCTTTGACCTGAGATTGTCATAGTAATTGACAAGTTATTTATTGTGCTTTGGTACTAGACACCTATGGCCCTAGGGTGATAGTTGAAAGAATATTCGGTATGATTAAATGCTTGTAGAATTAATGATTGATCAAGATGGAATCTGCCAACTCTTGGTAAGGATTATAAGCTCCATGTTGTCATGAATTAAAAACGACCAAACTAAGACCTTGGCTAGGGCAATTGCATGAAAGAGGAAAAGAGTTTCTTAGGTCATCCAATGGTCGATTATAGTTGACATGAACACATAGTTGGTCGCCAATTAGGATTTGACAGTTGAACCATATCCTAAGGTGACCCAAAGCTATAAGGACAGAATGAATTATTACTATGATGACCCAAAAAGGTCATCTTCTGTTTTAGAACTCGATTCTGTGTTCCGAGGCCTTAAAACCTCATTTTATCTCTCCTTGATTTTGTGTGCGCAGTTCGGGCGTATATCAGGAAAGCTTTTTTATGTGCAAAAAATTGAGGAAATAATAATTTTTGGCCTAAAAAGTTAATTTTTGTTGACTTCGGTCAACATTTTGGGTAAACGGACCCGGACCCAAGTTCTGACGGTCCCGATGGGTCCATAGTAAAATATGGGACTTGGGCATATGCTCTGAATCGAATTCCGAGGTTCCTAGCCCAAGAAATGATTTTTTGATGAAAATTATAAGACTAAAATTATAATGGTTTCAAGGATTTGGTTAATATGTGATCTCGTTGGTATCGGGCCCGTATTTTTATTCCAGAGCCCGATACAGGTCCGTTATGATATTTATACCTTATCTGTGAAGTCTGGTCAGAAACGGAACTGATTTGATGTGATTCGGACCCTTGGTTGAGAAAATAGAAGTTTTGAAACTTTTTTGAAAATTACATGCAATTTGGTGTTAAATTCGTAGTTCTAGGTGTTATTTGGAAATTTGATCGCGCGTGCAAGTTCGCATAATGTTTTCAGACTTGTGTACATATTTGGTTTGGAGCCTCGAGGGCTCGGGTGAGTTTTGGATAGGCTACGGAGTGATTTGAACTTAAAAAAGTTGCTGTGTGTTTCAGGTCTGCACTTCGCATTGTGAAGTCTGGCTCGCAAATGCGAGCATCGCATTTGCGAAGAAGTTTCGCATTTGCGATTAGAAGGGCTGGGAGAGGACCTTCGTAATTGCGAAGCTCAAGATAGCAATAGCGATAATCACATGCCGCATTTGCGAACAATGGTTTGCATTTGCGATGGCAGCAAGTCCTGGACATTCTTCACATTTGCGAAGGGATTGTTCGCATTTGCGAACCCCTAATCGCAAATGCGATACCTGCAACTGTTCAAAAGCGATTTTGGACGGGATTTTCATTCATTCTCCCATTTTTCAAAACCTAAACCTCAAGAGGCGATTTTCCAAAGGCTATTTCTTCCCCAAATCATAGGTAAATGATTCTTAACTCATTTCTTTCAATCTTTCACTTCTTTTAAGAAGATTTCATCCTAGAATCTAGGGTTTTCATGGTGGAATTGGGGATTTTGGGTAAAACTTAGGAATTTCGAAATTTGGGGACTTAGACCTCAAATTGATGTCGGATTCCAAAACCAATTGTATATCCGGGCTCGGGGGTGAATGGGTAATTTTTGGTCCGAATTTTGGATTTTGACCAAGCGGGCCCGGGGTCGGTTTTTGACCTTTTGGGGAAAATATTGGGAAACTCATAATTTTGTATTGGAATTGATTTCTTTAGCGATGATTGATGTTATTAAGTTAATTATGACTAGATACGAGTGGATTGGAGGTGAAATCTAGAGGAAAAGCGGTAATTGAGCTTTGAGTTGGCAGTTGGATAGAGGTAAGTGTTGTGTCTAACTTTGACTTGAGGGATTATGGATCCCCGACTTAATTGCTATGTGAAAATCCATGTGTGTGGCGTATAGGTGAGGTGACGAGTACCTATGCGCCGCCAAAATTATCTGTTTAGCCTGTTCCCTTCCCCGTTCCTAAAATATTGTTTTCCTGTTTTAACTGCAACATGCTTATTAGTGCCTCCATGTTTAATTGCTTCTTGTTAGATGTTGTTTTCTTTATTGAAGGTAGTAATTATTCCGTAGTTTCATTGTGTTACATTATTGATTTAAGTTGGGTTATCGGTGTATCATGGTATATTTTGGTTGGTCTCGTTGTGTAGTAGTAATTGAGTGAAGTTTCATAAGTGTATAGTCTTCTATTTGTTTCGGTTTGAGGCACAAATATTGTGGAGGGTTTTGAGCTGAATTGTAAAATACTTGTTCTTATTATGTGATTGTCTGGTGGGATCGGGTTACGAGCCGCAACAGGAATAACAAAGGTGGATTGGTGGGATCGGGTTGCACGCCGCAACAGGAGGAATAATGGTGATATATTGAGGAGTAATAAGGGTGGACTGGTGGGATCGGGTTGCACGCCGCAACAGGAGTAATAAGGGTGAATGTTCATATTGTTACTGATTATATGGCGGGATCAGGATGCGCGCCGCATCATTTTGTTGTTTGTGTATTCTTCTTCTACTGTGATTTGTTTCTGTAGCATTGTAACTCTCTTATGGATTGGTATAGCTGATTACTTGCAAGATAATTGAGTTCCATATTTATTTTTGCTGCAAGTTATTCATTTCGTTCTGTACTTCCTTTTGCTTTATTATACACTGTATGCATGTTATATTTTAAATGCCCCATCGTAGCCTCGTCACTACCTCGTCGAGGTTAGGCTCGGCACTTACCAGTACATGGGGTCGGTTGTACTGATACTACACTCTGCACTTTCTGTGCAGATTTTGGAGCTAGTTGTGGCTGATCGAGAGATTGGTTGCAGGCATTCATCTAGGAGACACAAGGTAGTCCTGCTGGCGTCCGCAGGCCCTGGCGTCCCCTCCTATATTTCTACTTTCCTGTTTTCTTTTCTTTCGAGACAGATGTAATTTCCTTCAGACCAGTATTTGTAGAAATTCGTAGTATGTTCGTGGATTGTGACACCAGTTTCTGGGTGGTAACAATTTTCGCTATTGTTAATAGTATATAGATAACCGGTTTATTATGTACTTCCGCATTTATTTCAGTTTGATTTAGCTTTGTTAACTTTAACTATAAAAATGTAAAGGAAGAAGGTGAATATAACTCTAACGTTGGCTTGCCTAGCGGGTGCGATGTTAGGCGCCATCACGGTCCCGACGGTGGGAAATCCGGATCGTGACAATTACATTATTCTACTATTGGTTCTTTTGTATATTTCATTATATCCGGTCGTTAAGGAGTGTTGCTAGACGCCACCCTTGATTAGTATTGATGTGATCAATTTACTACCAGCTTAGTATTGAACCTATGAGGTCGCACACTAACGAGTGTTCTGATCTTGCTAAAGGATAAATTACTTTATTATTTGATAATCAAATTAAAAAAATTAATTAGTCAAATAAACTTAGTTATTAGTCAAAATAAAATATTATTATATTCTTTGCTAGCACAGAAGTTATAATTAATATTGTGAACAAATTGAAGTTTTTTATTTGGAATAAAAAATTAAATAATCTCTCGTCAATCCAATTTGATCAAATTAATCTTCATTAATATATATATATATATATATATATATATATATATATATATATATATATATTAATGAAGATTACTTCCAACCCCATAAATCGGAATTGACGTGAAAATCGCAGATTACTTCAACCCCATAAGAATGGAGTTAGTGGTTTTAATTAAAATATTAGTTGGAGTAGTAGTAAAATTCCTATTTGGAATTGGACATTAACAGAACCTTCACGTCAAAGTCCTTAGAAAGGACGTTGGGCACCAAATCCATTAAGAATGGGATTTTGATTTTCGTTAAAAATATTCCATGAAGTTTATTTTGGAATAAATTTTTATACTAAGTAAATTATTACGTCAACCAAATAGGAAAAAGGTTTATAGGTGATTCTATATAAAGGGTGATGAAGAAAATTTGCTATAATTCTTTTGAGAAAGAAAATCACTTTGTAAAAGTGTTAGTGCAATACAAAGCCAAGAGAGAAAATATTATTACAAGAAAATTGTTTCTTGTTCTTCTACCTTTGAGTTAAGATTTTTGAGAAAAATTTTAACACAATATTTTCATTCAATTTGTTCACGGGTTCATTGATCAAAGAGTTGATAGCAAGGACCTGTCTCGGTGTGAATACGCATAGAGTATTCGTACTATCGAAGAAATTTTAAAACGAGACTCTCTTCACCAGATATATTTTAGATCCGATCTTTAACATGTGAATAAATTTTAAACATGAAAGATCATCCTAGGATTGTTATTGTCTTCCGTTGCGTGTTACGAACATTT